TGCCACAGAACACAGGGCAGAATAAACCTGCAGGAGATGGTATTTTTTTGCTCACCAAAGTGCCTCCTGCAGTGCTGTGTCAATAGAATATTAGAATATAGGATCACTGAAGCATTTAGGTTGGAAAAGCCCTGTGAGATCGTCCAGTCCAACCCTTCCCCCAGCACTGCCAAGGCCAGCACTGACCCATGTCCCCAAGTGCCACGTCCTTGGGGCTTTAAAATCCCTCCAGGGATGGGCACTCCAGAGTTTAACCTCCCTTTCAGTGAAGAAATTTTACCTTTCCTTTACCTGGCAACATGATAAAATAAAGATTTTTCAAATGCCTAAAGTGTGCTGTTATCTGGCATCTTAATTGTTTAACAGTACATCTCTTAATATATAAAAATATACCTCCTGAAATCTCCCCAAGTGCAATATTTGACTCTGAGCAACCTGGGCTAGTGGAAGGTGTTCCTGGCCATGGAATGAGATGGGCTTTAAGGTCCCTTCAAACCCAAACCAGTCTGTGATTCAATGATAAATTCTATATACAACTCATAATTGCTTTTCCTTGTTCAGGGTATGACGCAGTGAAGGAAGATGGCAAAGGCTCTGCTTCCTTTCCTCCCTGCACAGGGTCCAAATGTGTGTTTTAAAGGCAGGGAAAATCAAGCTGTATGGCAGGTTTGAGGGCAGCAGGGAGGCAGTGCAGCATCTTCATCCTCCAGCACGTTCTGTGAGCTGAGAGTGAGGGTTAACATGACATATTCCAATTGCTCCTCTCGCTTGGATGGATTTTGGAGTGGCTCCCTCCTCCCCATCCCAGGCTGTCATTTCCTGCAAAGGGCACCTTTGAGCTGGGGTCTGTCCCTCTCCTGCTGAACAGAGCTTGCAAATTACTAATTATTTTGGCAAAAGACCTTTAATTTGGTGCCAGTGGGAGATTGCAGGTTAATTAGATAGTCTTGTTACTTCTGTGTTTCACGAGCTTCTGGCTGAGACCAAAATCTTACAACTTCAGGCCCTAATAGTGCCTTGACCTGAACTTTCTCAGGCCAAACCCATGTCTCCAAGTGCCTGAACAAGTTCTGATCCTTAGTCTAAAAACTTTAGGGCCACACCAGGACAACAGTTTGCTCCAGGCAGTGAAAGCAAGGCCTTGATGCTTATTACTTTTGTTAGCCTTGAAAAAATGTCCAAAAATGTGAGAAGAGCAGCAAACCCAACTGCTGGAGAATATGTCATTTAAATCAGGATCTCAATCTCACCTGTGGAGGCAGGTGAGTAAAACAGAGAGGTGAGGAAATCCCTGGGCAGGAGGGAAGAACTCCAGAGTGAGGTTTTACCTGCAGGCAGTGAGTGCTTTCCATGTGCAGCACAGACTCCTGGGGGATTAAAAAACTGATATATTTGGTGTGATCAGAGAAGCTGCCATCAAATCCAGTGCTGCCTGTATATTAACAGTGGTTCTCTGTTACAATTTGGCTCTCAGTTATGGGAGGAGGCTCGGAGTCACAGGTTTGGGGCACAGGATTTGTGGGAAGAAGTGTCACTGTCAGTGGGTGCACTCAGCTCTCTGCTTGGCAAGGACTATAAAATCATGGCTTGGGTTGGAAAACATCTTAAAGCTCATCTCATTCCACTTCCCTGCCATGAGCAGAGACACCTTCCACTAGCCCAGGTTGCTCGAAGTCCCAAATTTAGCAGAAATTTAGGATCAGGTTGGCTAAAAACTCCAGTTTTCTGATTTGTGCCAAAGACCCTGAATTTCTTAGCTTTGTGCTTCTCATAAATGGCCATAATTGCAAATTAATTCCATGCCATTTCTAACAAAGACCCATTAAATGCCAGCTGATATCAAACCTTCTACTGGTTTGTCCATGGAAGTCCATGGAAGTGCAGGGAGGGAATATCAGGCCAAAGTCTTACAGTGAATTTTTGTTGATTTTCCCCGTCTTGTGCAGGGATGTTCTGGCAGATTTAGGAGTCTGGGCAAGGAGAGGTGGGAAGATCCAGGAGAGATAGGAAGGACCAGGAGAGATGGGAAGGACCAGGAGAGATTGGAAGGGCCAGGAGAGGTGAGAAGGGTGAGGAGTGGGGGCTCTGCACATTTGCACAGCAGGAAACCAGGAGCAAGATCACAGTCAAGAGGTTTTGGGAGACTGAATACTGAGATTTTCCTGGGACAACTTAGTAGTTTTATGGGCAGGATTTCAGGAGAGATTTGGTACAGGAATGGAGGAAGTTAGATGAGCAAAGGGCTTAGAGTTTACATGGTTGTCTAAAGGTTTTATATCACATTTTGAGCTCTGATGAAACAAAACAGTGAGACAATAATTGCAGAATATAAGAAAAACATTGCTGAGATATCCAGAGGGACCTTTGCCTGCAATGGTTGCCCCAGTGTTATTTTATTCTAATTCAGCCAAATCACATTATAATTAACAAGAAAAACAAAAAAAAGTAAGAGTTTGGATGAAAATAACAGTGATAAAAGCAATCCAGGTGCTGTTCTGAGAAATGCAGATGAAGAGAGAAGATTTAAGTGGAAGAGGGAAGCAAAACAAATAGAAAAGACATCCCTGGTGAGCAAAGCCTTTTTACAGTGCAAGGATGATAATAATAATAATAGTATCAACTGTGTGTGTTTTATTCAGGTTTTGTAGCCTTCTTACTTATACTGAGAAGAGAGATGGGAAGGGCTTGGGAGAATACAGAGGGATGGGAAAGGCTTGAGAAAATACAGAGCGGTGGGAAAGGCCCTGAAACAAAATGTCTGCTGTTGCTTTCTGCAGGTTTCTCCCTGTCTTCTGAAGGAATAAAAAATACAAAACCTCTATATTGTGAATCTGTGCCAGCTCTTCCCCTTCCATGAGTGCCAGTCTCTGCTGGCACGGTGGCTGTGCCTGCTGAGGGCAGAGGTGCCCTCGCTTGCCCCACAGAGGAGGCAGCACTGTGACCCGCTGGGCCTGATTGCTCATTAAGAGGGGAGTTTTAGGGCAGGATGGCTCCTGGCTGGCAGGTGACAAAATCGTTGGAGGTGTGTGCTGAAGCTGGAGCCAAGAACTGGAGGGGGAGAAGTGGAGGACTGTAAATAAGGACACTTGGAACCTGTCTGTGCAGTGCCAAAGGTGTTCCCAGCCAGGAGTGAGCTGAGCCCATCACACACTGTCCCTGCCTCCAGCTGCAGGTCACTCCTGCTCCTGCTGGGGTTGTCTCTGGGAGCCAAAGGAGACAATCCAGGTGGATTTCACTGGAGAAGTTCACAAAATACGCAAAAGCCCCAAGGTTGGCCAATTTCTGACCTATTTGTTCAAATTTGCTGCCATTTCCTACTCCGTCCACCTCCCTCATCCCAGTGCCTGTGTGCCTTCCCAGCCCCAATCCTGCTCATCACATCCCACTCCTCAGCAAGAGACAGAGGGGTTGGGAAGGGAAGGGAGTGAAACTGGGAAGGGGCTGGAGCAGCAGGAGCAGCTGAGGGAGCTGGAGGGGCTCAGCCTGGAGAAAAGGAGGCTCAGGGGGGACCTTCTGGCTCTCACAACCCCCTGACAGGAGGGGGGAGCTGGGGGGGTTCGGGCTCTGCTCCCAGGGAACAAGAGACAGGAGGAGAGGGAACGGCCTCCAGCTGTGCCAGGGGAGGCTCAGGTTGGACAGGAGGAGGAATTTCCTCCTGGAAAGGGTGGTCAGGCCTTGGCAGGGGCTGCCCAGGGAGGTTTGGAGTGCCCAGCCCTGGAGGTGTCCCAGGAAGGCCTGGCCATGGCACTCAGTGCTCTGGGCTGGGGACAAGGTGGGCATCGGGCACAGGGGGGATCTAGGGGCTGGGAGGGATTTTCCAAACTCAAGGATTCTGGGAGTCTGTGGACAAGGGTGGACAAGGGCAGGTAGTGACAGGACAAGGCAGAACAGACACAAACTGTCAGAGAGTAGATTTAGAATGGATATCAGGAAGAAAGTCTTGGCTGTAGGGGTGGCGAGGTCCTGGCACAGGTTGCCCAGGTCGGGGTCTGCTCCCAGGGAACAAGGGGCAGGAGGAGAAGAAACGGCCTCCAGCTGTGCCAGGAGAGGGTCAGGTTCGAACCTGGGAAAACTTTCTGCACAGAAGGAGTTGTCCAGCACTGGCACAGCTGCCCAGGGCAGTGGTGGTGTTGCCATCCCTGGAGGTGTTCAAAAAATGTGTAGATGTGGGACGTGGGGACATGGCTTAGTGGTGACAGTGGCAGTGCTGGGTTAATGGTTGGACTTGATCTTGAAGGGTTTTTCCAATCTGAACAATCCCATGATTTTAAGACTTGCGCCTAAATGTGCCATGTATAAAGATCAGATCTAGGAAAAAACCCTCAGTGAGTGTGGGGCTTTGGCACAGCACTGTCTGAACACGTCACACTCTTTTTCCAGAAGCCACTTGCCTTGAGCTACCCCAGGGTTGGCTGTAAGTCCCAATTTCTTATGCCTTTTCTCTGGCATTAATATTGCTACTTCATATTCTCATGCTTTGGCATCTGCTTCTGCAAACAGTTCAAATTCAAGACTGACTCACAGGATCTGAAGGGCAGAACAGTCCAACACTGATGTTTTTTTCTGAGGCTCTGCTGTTTTTTTTTTTCCTTGTTGCAGATGACTACAGGCCATGCATGGCAAAGAAGAATTCCACCCAACCTGTGCCATGGGTGTATTAGAGCAATATTATCAAGCCATATGAATTTTTATGCAGGTCCCTTAATGAAGTGCCTGTGTTTGCTCTACAGACAGTGTTGTTTGGTGTGTCACAGATCATTTTCTGCAGAACTGAGATGATTGTTGCAGACGTGCAATCAATAAAATGTTCTGCTTCAAACTGGCACACTTGATTTTCCTCCTGAAATTTTGGTCAGGCTTAATGGGAATAAATTTCCAGGCAAGCCAGTCTCTGAGGACGTGCAGGAAGGACACTGGAAAGGTCTATCCTTTGCCTCCAGTCACTGACCAACAACAGTTCCTGAAAAAAGGAGCTGGGAATTGCAGGGGATTGTGCAAGATATATGTGGCTGTTGAAGCAGAGGAATTGGTCATAAGTGGGATAAAATTTGCTGCATTTAGTGGCAGTTGAGCACCAGACTTCAGGAGACCTAATCAGGGGGAGTCCAGAGAAAAAGAGAAAGCTTTAGAAATTATGGCCTACAGGAGAAGATTGAGGCAATTGTGACTTTTGAGGAGAAAAGCAACAAGGGAAACATGATAGTCCAATCTTCCAAAATTCTATTGCTGATGAGAAGTTTCTTCTCCATGCCAGGGCAAAAAGTTAGTTGGCAAGGGAAATTTAGTCTAATAATGAGGCTAAATTAGGCTTAGCCTAAGATTTCCAATGGTTTGAAATAGGTGTTGGGATAGACTGACCGAAGAGGTGATATAATCTCAGTCACTGGAGGTTTTAATCCTTATCACTGGATATTTTTAAGACCAAGGGATACATATGCAAGAGGAATTCAGCAGAGGTGCAGGGTTTGTAACCCTTCTTCAGTGCTTTCATGTGTCTCATTCTGCAACTAATACGTACACATACAAAATCGTAAGTATTTCCAATTTTTTCTCCTCAATTTTGACGTGTAGCTTTTCTTTGTGCTTAAGTTTGCTCAGGGATTGTTTCATTTCAATAATATGGTCTTTTCAGAAAGTCTTCTTCTGGGAATAAGGGGTATTCTGCCCAGATATTTGTGAATCACTGAGTCACAGAATCCTGCAATGGTTTGGGTCAGAAGGGACCTTAAAAATCATCTCTTTCCAACCCCCTGCCATGGGCAAGGACACTTTCCACTGTTGGAATTTAGTCACTAAACTAATAAAGAAGGGAGAAATTGTCTTTCCGATTTTTGGAGGAGAGCTCTGGCCTTGTCTGTGTTGACATTATAGGTGTTACCATGATAAAATAATTACAGGCAGAAATTTGTGAATAATCAATGCCTAAATTTCCATGTTTTTTTGTAGAGAAGAGTTTTGCCTAAAAAATAAAGTGAATTTCACCTGACAGTTAAAACTACTCTCTGATGGCAGCAAACAACAAGTTAATGTCTTCTGGTTACTTACAGGTTACTGAGCCTTTTGGAATATCTTTTCAATAACTTTTTTTTTTTTTTTACTGGTTTAAGTTTTCTTCCTCTGAGCAGAAAAAAAATAAAGTAAAATATTCAGTTGTAATAACAAATTCTCTGATGACACGAAAACATTATTAAACAACTTCAATAACCTCCAGAAACATAAATGTAATATAGGAGAAACATTCCTTTGCAAAAGTCGATTGGAGGCAGGGTTTTGATACAATTTGTCAAATCCATCTTGTTTCTAAAGCCTGATGGAAGTTAATATTGATTGCCATTTTAAAGCACAGCTTGTCAGCTTAGTTCCACTCAGCTGCCAGCATTGTCATTCCCAAGGTTTATTTTGCCTGTGCTCTCAGATCTCTGAGGCTGCTGGAGCATGTTAGAGCTGGTAATAACACAACTGACTGATAAACAAAAGCTGTTGAGTATCAGCACAGCAGAGTGAAGTGGAACAGTAAAATCTCTACCTGTGTCTGGGCTGTGAATGTACTAAAAGCACTAATCAACATTTATTTAAAGAAAAAAATGCAGTAACAACAGAACGACAGCAGTCTAGTATCAATTCTTTCTCTAATATGCCAGTAATGAATAATATCTGTCCTGTATTTTATTTGGATTTTTGATATCTGCCCAGTAGAATTATAAATTCCAGGATAAAAAAAAACAAAGCAAAACAAAACATTATTACCTCTCACTGTTCTTTTCAAGTATGAAAATTTACCTTAATATCTTTAATTAGAAGAATTTCTGTTCTGGCACTTCTGTGTTTTCCTGAGAGTGATTCTCCCTGGGAACGTCCTCAACGTGCAGTTCTAGGAGTAGGGAAGTTATGCCAGGCCTTTTTTTGGTGGTGTCTCCATTGCAGTGTCCCTGACCCATGCACACCTGGAGCCTTTGTGCCTGGGACCCTGGGCTTTCCAGGCAGAGGGACATCAGAGATGCTTCCAGAGCAGCCTTTCCCAAACTCTGACCTCACTGGGAGGGAGGAGGGTGACCAGAACCCAGGGGAGAATTTGGTCTAAAATGCCAGAAGCACAACAGATCCCAGATTTTGAGGTACCACGACCCATAACTAGTGAGGAAGGGAGGATGCTGACAGGAAGGGAGGCTGCTGACCACATGGCCCTGCAGGGGTGCAGGAACAGGGGCTCCTTCTCCTCTGGAAACCCCAGACCTTTCCTTCCTGGGCGAAAGAAGAGATTCAGAGATAAACCATCTCTGCTGACAGTTGTCTTGATATGCTCAACACACTCCTAAAACGCTCAGAGTGCTGTTCTTCCCTTGAATCACTGTTTTTCACAGGGAGCTTGTTCAGCTGGAAAATGCCTTGGCTGGCAGGACCCTGGGAGGTCGGGCAGCACATCACTGTCCGGCCGAGTTCCAGCCTCCTCCCTCCCCACATCTGCTTCGGGAGTTCTTTTCCATCCAGCTGGATGATTTTCTACCTATCCTTGTAGGGTACAGAATGTTCCACCTGCCTGTGAAGGCTTTATTAGCACCTCTATTTTGCCCTGTCTGCTGATTAATGGGGCGAACCACCCCAAATCCACACGGGTGCAAACTTCCCGGTACTTCACTGCCCTCAGAGAGACACGAAGGAAAAATCTCCCCACACGATGTGTGTGTGCATAAAGTGATTTATTTAAAAGGCACAGTGTATTAACAGTGCTCCCACCCATGTGCTCCTTCTCAGACAGAGACAAATTGCCCTCTCAGCAGCTGGGCCTGCCAATGCCATTTGCACTTTGCTTTGCCAAGTGACAGGAAACTCAGCTCTGTCCCCTCGTCCCCCCCCCGAGTTGTCTTGTTAAAGCACATTTGGGCTGCAGGAGCTGATCTGCAGCGCTCAGCCCAGGCACTGGCACCATGGAATGGCTGGGAAAATATCGAGGAATTTTCCTGCTGAAGGGAACTTTTCAACACCTCCCCATCATTTGCTCCGGATGCTTAATCCCATTTAAATAACAACGTGTCAAACATGCCCAGCCATCAGCTTGCAGGTGGCCTTGCTGAGATTTTTCAGCTTGAAGTTTTTCTGCCTCTCGTTGCAGAATTTTTTTGCGGGGATTCTTTTCCCCCCAAATATTGACTTTTTGGTTTTGAGGTTACTGTTGACGTGCTCGGGCACAGGAGTTGCTCAGCCCACCCCAGGAAAGGAGGCACATTAAGAAGATGAATGCATTTATCAGGCAAATCAGCTGGCTGATTATATACTTTGGGGTTTACCTGCAAGACATTGTTTGAATAAATCCTTTTTCCCCCTGTAATTCCATGTGCAAACAGCTGTGAGTCCTCATCTTTCAGTCCCTGGAAGAAGTAGCTCTGATTTATGGTGTTTACCTGGCAGCGCCCGTGGGTTGGTACCAAGCAGGCTTCAATCTCCACTTCCTCAAAGAAAACAAAATCTTATTTATTAACAATGAGAAACCTACAGGATCCTTTGCAAGCATTGTCTGACAGTGCACTGCCAGATCCAAAGAAGCCAATTAGTGCAGGAATGGAAAAGGATGAACTTCAGGCAGCTCCACTCTGTCCTTTTGCTGCTGGGGGCACCCGAGGCTGTAGAATAAAGGGAAGGCAAAGCTGGATTTCTAGATCAGATAAAGTGACCTGCACTGGCTGCTTTGGCTGTGACAATTGGGGTTTTTACACCATTTCTTTCAGGACACCTGTTTCATGATTTAATCATTCAGGTCGCTTAAACTTCTGGGGGTGAACTAAAAATAGATGCTGAGTTTGAGCCATTAGTCTGGCTCTGAATTTCCCAGGGAACAACAGTCCAACAGTGCTGTGAAAAATGATGGTTTGTTTGGTTTTTTTTAAGAAAAAAAGAATAACTGGACCAGTGCAAAAAAACCCCAGACCAAATGAAAAAAAAACAACAACCCAACACCAGAACAAAAACAATGAATCAAAAAACCCCCAAACAAACATCTAAAGAAAACCAATAAATTAAAACCCCCAAACAAACAGCCCCAAAAAATGAATCAGAAAACCCCCGAACAAAAACAACTAATAAAAAAAAGCAAAACAAAAACCCAAAGAAAATTAATTAAAACATCCTAAACAAAACCAATGGAAGAAAAACCTCCCAAACAAACCCCCAAACAAAAGCAATGAAACAAAAACCCCAAACAAACCCCCAAACAAAAGCAATGAAACAAAAACCCCCAAACAAACCCCCAAACAGAAACAAACAACGAAACCGCCCCAGACAAACACCCAAACAAAAACTGGGAATCAAAAAAACCCAAAAAAACCACCTAATAGAAAATAATGAATTAAAACCCCCAAACAAACACTCAAACAAAACCAATGAAACAAAAAACTCAAACACCCAAATGAAAACAACAAATAAAAAAAAACCAAATGAAAACAATTAATGAAAAAACCTCAAAACAAACATGCAAACAAAAAGAAAGAAAGAAAGAAACAAAAAAAACCCCCAAACCCAGAAAAACCCATTTACTTTGTGTACAGAGAATTTAAAAATATTCAAAACCGTGAGAAATTGTGAGGGAGGAAAACAGTCAAATCAAAGATGTTTCTGTGGCACTCTTAGGTGGAAAGCTGTCTCTGGCAGTGTTTAAAGTGCTTGTTCATCTTCTACCTGAATATTTCCCAATCAGGAAAAGAAAGAACAAAGTACAGAATGCTTTTTTTTTGTTAAATTAGGTAAAACACTATAAGATGTATTTAATTGAATGGTTCTCTGCTGAGCTCTTGGACATTTTGGATGTTGATTTTGGTTTTTTTTTTTTTGTTAATAGATGTGGTTTCCTGCAGTGTTCAACACGATGTATTCATCAATCTCTGGCTTCTGAGCTGTTTGTCATTCGGAACAGGCCACTCTCTCCCGGGTGACTGGAGCACTCCTTGATCCCCCAACTGAAACGATTATGGCCAAAGATAATTAAACTAACAAAAGGCAAACAGCGAATAGCAAATAAGGAGTATCGACCCTGACTGAGCAGGTACAGCCTGTTTGCAGGTGGATCCAGAGGTTTGGATAAATGACCAAGGAGCTGTGCAAACAGGCTGTTTGCAGGTGGATCCAGAGGTTTGGATAGATGACCAAGGAGTTGTACAAACAGGCTGTTTGCAGGAGCACTTCCAGCTGGGAAAGGAGAAGGGGCAGGAAAACGGCATCAATTAGGTCTTGTGAGTTTGAGTAACACAAACATTGTGCCTGGGACAGCTCAGCTTGGCTTTTGTCCCTCCAGGTCTCTGGAAATCACTTGGAGCTCTGCCAATTCCACCGGGAGCACAACCAGTTTTCATCATAATATTCAGTCGAGATCAGTCTTAATATTCCAGGATTACATTTGTCATCTGGTTCAATTAGATCCTTTTAATGTCCACATTAATAAATGTTGTTTAGTTGGGTAAATTACCATCACATGGGGAAATGTGTTCAGTGCTGCTGTTTAGATGTAGTGTCACTGTGGTGTTTTTATAGGAATAAATATATTTTTGTGATCACAGAATCATAGAATAGACTCAGATCATCCTGAGCTGGAGGAGACCCACAAGGAGTAAGTCCAGAGGAGGCACCAAGGTGAGCAGAGGGATGGAGAATATCTTAAAGGTCTTTTCCTACCTCAACAATTCTGTGATTCCATGGTCAGTGTCAGGTTCTGACAAAGAGAGAACTCCTGAAGTCTGGAATCACCTCTTTCCCCCTCACTCACTTATTTTGCACAGCCTGTGGTGTTAAAACTGAGATGTGCTGGGGAAATTTTCCACATTAAACATACTTCCATTAATATGGAATTGAACATAATTCCATCTTAAACGTTAAAAAAATGTTCCATAAACATAATTTTCCCAGCATGATGGGAAAATGTAATATAAATATAACAATAAGGTTGTTAATCAGGATTAAAGTGCATCCCCAAGTTGGTGTAATATCTGCTGCCTGCCTGACCCCAGAATTTTGGGCAGGTTTGCCTCTTCTTGTAGACTTCTGAACTTTTTAAAAGTGTGGCAAAGAACTGCAGGTAATTTAAATCAATAATCTGGTTCTTGTCTGACAGCTTTGGTATTTTATACATATTCATACACTCCTTCAAAGCTGATTTCTCTTTATTCTTCAGAGGGTGAGAACTTCATTGCTAATCAGAACACTATTTCTCCTTACAACTTCCAGCAAATGAATCTCACCCCGTTGTTTAAATTGAAATTTTGAGCTGCCAGTCAAGACAGGTCAAATGGGAAATGAAAAAAAAAAAAATTAGGAACCCTGAGTACAAAGAGCAAATATCATCTCTATGCACATACACCCCTGGCTCCGTGGATTCTCCAGGAGGTTTGTCTCCATCCAGATGGCCTTCCTACCTTGAGAGGTTATTTCAATTCAAAGGAAATAAAAGCTTTTAAAATGCCATCCACTCACAGTAATTGACTGTGCCAGCAGGTTAAAATAGCTCTGAAATGAATATTCCACTTCAGACTGGGGGTGTTGCTGAGGAGGGTGACCCAGCTGTGTCTACACCAGCTCCTGTCACAGTTTTTCTGGAAAAAAAAAAAATCCAACCAAATAAACAACCAAAACCTCTAGTGTGGAGAAAAACCTCTCCTTGGTGCTTTTTTTGTGTTTTATTGTGCTTTATTGTGCCTTTAATCCGACAGCAGCAGGAAATCCAGGCCCTAAACACTGAGGTCACCACGTGAGAGATGCTTCAGGAACAGCAGAAGCGAGGAGTTCTTGTCCTGATGAATTTTGAGTTGATGACTCCACCAAACTCTCCAGAAGAAAGAGAAACACAAAGGTTTAGTGGCTGATATGAGAACCTGGAGTGGGTTATTGGTAAAATGAGCCCCTCCCTGTACTACTTTAAATCAATCAAGGCTGGGTTGCAATCTCCAGGTCCTGGGAATGCGAGGAATTAAAACCAGTTCCAGCAGTTTAACATCCTGCTTCAGGATAACCTCTGATATTCTGAACTGGGCCATTTTTCTCATGAAAACACCTTTCTCAGCTCGAAGAATTATGTAGCACTTGCCCTCAAAGCCTTGGTAATTGCTGCAGGTAACCCCTTGGATAACTCAGCGCTCCGTTTGCACCACTCCTAAATGTCCCTCTTGAAGTAATTTAGGGAAGGGAGGTCACCCCACCAACACAGGGACATTTATCTAACACAGAGGTAGCTCTGCATTTTATATCACACCTCGTTTTTTTGTCCTTACGTTGGACAAAGGACATAGGAAAATTACAACCTTTTTAGAGTTAATAAGTGTAGGTGGCTCTGAGTAGAAGATGTTTCACTAAATTCTGAAAGCTCCTCTGTGTCACATGTTTTAACCTCTAAATATTTGAATTATCTGCCCGAAATCATTAACTTCCAGTGGAAGACACCTCCAAATGCCAGCAGAGACAGAATCATTCCTACCACTGGCGAAGAGAGGATGCAAATGGCTCCTTTAAATATATTCAACTTTTTTTCCTAAATTCTCTGGGCCATCAATAACCCAGTTTCTTTTCCTGTGTGTTGCTGCAACAGAAGCTTCTGGAGACAGATGAGCTGAACTGAGTTGGTCCCTGCCTCTACTTTTCCTGCTTTCATGCTGGAATCATGCAAAAGCAGGAAAGGATTTTGGCAGATGAAGTCACAGGCGGGTTTGCTCTCGGTGCCATTGTAATTTACTTGTTCAGATAAATGCCTTTTACACTTGGGTGATTTCTTTACACTCTGCATGTTCTTGAGCAAAGTTGAAAGTCTGAAAAGATGCTTCGAGTCAGCTCTTTCTACTTGGAATCACTTAAAAATTATTATGGGATTATTGGTTTGCTTCTCTTTTTTACTCATGGCTGGAAAAAAAAAGAAGCTGCGTGTAACAAGAAAGAAAGGAAAACATCCCAAACATATCCTTAGGCTAAGAAAGGAAGGTTTACTGGGAATGGAATTTGAGCAGGGTTGTGTTGTGCTCTCTGTTGGAGTTTCCTGGGAATTTAGGGATGAGATAACCCAAGAACAGAACCACAGCGCTCAGGGATGTTATATTTCTGATTTATTAAGTAGGACTGTGAGTTCTGGGATGAGGTTTCTGCTGTATGACTTTTATTCTCTGACAATCCCAGTCCTGGCCCTGCTCCATTTGGGCCCAGGAGAGCAGGACATCCCACAGCTCCACATTCCCATCCCTGGGGAGCAGCCCAGGCCCTGCCTGCACTGCCCTCACTGTGGGCTTGGAATCCTACAAGATAATCCCGTGTCTGAGCAGATATAATCCCACAAAGGGCTCGTTGCTCCCTATTTAAGGTTTTATAACTTGTCTGCTTGGCCAAGACCTCACAAACCTGGGCCAAGCTCTTTGGTTTCCTCCCCACCTCCAGCCAAACTGCTGCTGGTTTTGGGTCACTGTCACACTCCAACCTCCTGCCCAACATATATTAGAAAGTTCTAGAATTTCTAAAACCTGCCTCAATCGTTAGGCACAGCCCAGAGCTTTTGGGGAGGTTTCTCCCATGAAAATTATGTGTATTTTTCTCTTCCCTGCACGTGCCAGAATCTGCTGATGAGTTTGAGCTGAGCAAGTGGAGCCAAGGTCTCAGGTGTGTGAGTGATGCTTTCAGGGAAGGTTCACCCCATGACAGCAATTTATTACCCTTATTAACTATTTGGAAGAGATGACTGGATAAAAAAGGCACATAATCAAAGAGCGAGGAGGAAAAGGGCATTATGTATTAAAGCTGACTGCGAGCTGATAAAAATTTAACCTTATTTTTTTAGTTGGCTGAATGACTGCAAACAGTATTTTAACACAACCAATGAAAGGTCTTGTATTTAGTAATAAAAAGAATGTAGGTGCCAATTGTTCCGGGAAGAACTTTAGGAAGGGTCTGAGCACTGGAGGGGAATATTTAGAGAAGTGGAATATTTGGCTCATCAGTGCCCAACCCTGGTGTTGGTGTTTAAAAGCACTAGAGGAAAATGTGAATGAGTTAAAAGGGGAGCCATGACATTATGGAAAGCCTCAGAAAAGAGGTTCTGGGATGATATGTAGCATGGACAAATTTTTAGTGCTGTAAACCAGACTTGAAAGCACTTCTCTCTCGAGGGGGCACAGTCAGAGGAAAGGGCAATCCTAAAGAGAAATTCAATAACACGACCTGATGCCCCAAAGTTGTGGGTAAACAAATGTACAACGTAGTGTATATGTTTTCTGCTTTTTGGGGAGCTTTTTTAGCCTTTCTTATTTTGATTTTTTAAACCTGCAGGGTAATTAGCCACTGGAATATCTTACTGATATCAGCAGTCTCAACATCAGAGAAAATATTTATACCAAGGGCAGATTATTTTTTTCCCTCCACATCTGTGGTATTTGATGAAAGACATTATTTCAGGGAATTTTTGTGTCTTGTGCTCTTTATGACCTCAAAACCAACACATCTTTTTCAAAAGGCTAGGAGAGTGTTGTGAGAGGAGTCTGGCAGAGGTGAAGGAAAGTAGAGCAGAAAAGAAGGTTCTCTTCTCAAAAGAAATGACCTAACTTAGAAACAAACCACCCCCCAAAAACCAAAGAGGCAAATTAACAGCATAAAATGACCAGAATAATGATTATATGCTGATTTGCAGTCAGTCTGGATGAGATCAGGGGAGGATGCTTGGGTGAGTAGGGATTGCAAAGTAAGCAAAGGGATTGAACTGCCCGATTTTGTTACTCAGTGCTGGAAACAACCTGCAGAGCAGCCCAGAGCTCTGAGAGGGAACGTGGGGCTGATCCTGCCAGGCCCTGAGCTGTCTGCTCAGCACAAAACCTGAGGCAAGGAGTGTTTGAACACCTCTCCTGCCTGACTTTCGGTGCTGTGATCAGTGTGGCTCATTTTCTGGGGAAGACAAAGACGGAAGGCAGATGGAGACAAACCATCCCAGAGCAGGATTTAGTGCTGGGCTTTAACTTTGGAGAAGGGAGAAGAAAAGACCCTGCCTTTGTCTGCACCAGCCTTTGAGCTTTGGGGCCGTTTGGAAAGGTGACAGTGGGTGTTTAGTGTATCTCAAGAGGGGCAAAGCTTTGTTTCAGTGACAGATCATGCACATCCACACTCAGCTCCACCAAAGGAAAGGCCCCCCTTGGATTCAAGGGATCTTTGAGTCCATTCCTGCTGCTGCTTCTGACTTCAGTGAGAGCTGCACACTCTAAACATATTAGAAAATTCCAAACTCATCATCTTTATCTTTTTTTACACTTTCTTTATTCATTTCAAATCCATTTGTGTGGAGCATATTGTGGATACGGCCCTGACAGAACAATACCTTCAGTCTGCACCAGTTTGGGCAAAATACAAGAACTTTTTGAGGTTGTAAAGTTTCAATGAGAACCTCTTCATTATTAAAAAACTCAAACTGCCTTGTTTACTAGTGAAACCCATTTTGCTCTTGAGCTCCATGTCTTCTGCTCTGCAGTAAAACAAACTTTTTCTGAGCCTTTTAACTGGGCTTTTTACATCTGGCTGTGGTACATCCAAGTGATATCACCTGAACTATTTTTATCTGCCAAGCATTTTTTTCACAACAGCAACAGCTCCCAGTTAGGATACTGGGAAGAACAAACAGGTTAAACTGTTGGGAAAAAAAGTTAAACAGAGTAAACTGTTGGGAAAATATTAAAAATCTCTATTTTCATCCCCATTGTCACGGGTGGTATTATAAGGAAAGGGCAAGGAAAGCTACCATAGACAGTTTATCTTTTAAATCCAAACCAAGAATTATAGGTTTACAATATTTTTCAAGCTAAAACTAAGGTTTTATTTTTTTTTTTTTAACCTAGGGCATTTTTCTTTCATTTTTCTGCTTATAAATGGGATCAAAGCTTTCCCTCAATTTCAAAGTGTCCTTTTCTGTTTGGTTGTTGGATCATAAAAGCCAAACCCAAACCCAGAGAATTCTGAGTTCATTATTTCCAAAGTAATTTAATGTTTTTATCCCCCTCTTTTCCACTGTTTTGTCTTCATAGGGAAATGCAAAGAAGTTGAGAAAAGGAACTTCTATAATTAAATTAGTCACAAAAAAATGAGCAAACCAGAACATCACATATTCCACTAATAAGCTGTGCCTTTTTTCCCCCACATCATTAATATCCCTTTTGCTAAAGTTATTAAGATGAAAAATGGTTATCAAGACTTTATTTTTATAATCAGAAGTATATTTATTTCTCATACATATAATTCCTTCTGACATCAGTCACCTTAATCCCACATTATTTGTGCTCTGACACTGCTGTAATTATCTCCTCCTCTTTAACAAAGCAGCTTTATTTTGAGGCAGAACTAACAGATGACCAGAAGCAAAGAAAGTGGGACTTCCAGAAGCAAAGGGGGTGGGACTGGATGAGCTTTAGGGTCCCTCCCAACCCAAATCATTCTGGGATTCTATGATTGCAGGGATTGCACTCTTCTCATCTTGCTGGGCCACACTCAAGTGTTGTTGTGATGAAAACCCTTTAAATAATCCAACTATTTAATTTTATTACTAATAAAACCATTCCCTGCCCTCATGTTCTGTGGAGAGTGGTGAATAGCTGCCACCCAGAGAGTCAGAGAATTCCAGAGTCACAAATGGGTTTTGTTGGAAGAGACCTTAAAGCTCATCCCATTCCAGCCCCTGCCACGGGCAGGGACACACACGTTGCTCAGAGCTCCATCCAGCCTGGCCTGGTGATCCAGGGGTAATTTTTCCAGGCAAACCCAAATGTGGAGGACGAACTGCAGGGTGATTCACATGCTGAAGAGGCCCTGTTAGCAATGCCACAGATGCTGATGCTGCTTTGGGTACTGACAGTGATGAGTGGTGTGTAATATCTGATAAAGATTAGAGGCCTCAAAATCAAAACAAAGCTGCTGAACAGGGATCCCATGATACCAAAACACCATTTACAAGCTGTGACAGCAAGATAATTGGGCTGGGTGTGGCTTCTACTTACTGGAATAAATGATGATAAATAGTGACTCTGGCTGGACTTTGACTGGGGGAAAATGGAATACTCAGAGATATATTTTTATATTATTGCTGCTGTCAGAAGGCTGGAGAAGCGAATGTCTGCATTCTTGTGTGATCTGTGAGTAGAACAGAGCTGGCTGTGTACAAGCAAACTGCTGCCCTGCTTCCCTGTGACTCCCACATTGTGCTCCTTCCTCCATCATACCTTGTGTGCCTCATCCATAAACCCAGAAAATTCCTCCTGCTACCACCTCCCACCGTCGTTATTCTTGTCACCTGTGACTTTTCCATCACTTAAGAATTTTCTCTTGACCTGAAAATTGGGTTGTCATCTCAAGATGGATCGTGACAGGAGGAAACATTGCTCAATGAGTCCCTTCTTAACTGTCCTCCATGAAATAGTGGGAAATAATGTCAGGGAATGTGATGCCCGTCTATCACTGTCCAGGTGTCTCAGAAAGCTGAGAACCATCATTTCTGCCCTTTCTTGCAGCCACAGCCATATGACCAAGGTAATCCAGGTGATGTAAAACACACCCCTGGGAAGGAGAAACT